TGTGCTGTTAGCTTGCTACTTAAATGGTGGAGCAGTACCTCACAAACTGCAGCGCAGCTACCATTGATTTGAAGCGAAAGCAAACTGCGTGTCAACTAATATCAACTGCGGCACTGGCGCTGCAGCTATTGACTTTGTTAAGGACGAATCTGCTTGACGTAATTGCAGCTACTGGTGGTGGCAACGGTTTCTGGAATAATGTTGCAAGGCCCAAATTGTTTTGAACAACGATGATGCCAGCAACGGAAGCGCCGGCAAGCATTGTCGCAATTTTTTTCTGTGTAAAATGCAGTGGACATCGCCGCTGATTTGAGGACCAATGGAGAATTTAGTACTTGCTGCACCGTGAATTGCTCTGTCGTCGACCGTCCTTCAGATACATTGACAAATCGATTTAAGGGCGAAGAATGAGTAAACGCTGCGTGTCGTGATGAAATTGCTGCAGGTTGTAAGCCTCGTGTAGCTGAAAAAATGTTTGACTGCCATAACAATTTATACATGTCACGGAGGAAAGAAATGAACTCCTCTTAGACGAGAGGATATTGTAAGAAAGAGGCTAGCTGCGTGGTCGACAAGTTGGTCTATACTCTGCTATACTGCGGTGCAATTGAAATCTATACCCTTTTTTTGAAGCAATGTACGGATGACAATGGATGATAATGCAGGATGTTGTGAAGCCATGCCATTCAAGATCAGCTTCGTGCTCCTAAAGTTTACTGCAATGTATCACTGAAAGGACGAGTGTAGCATCTTCTAAAACTTAGGCAAGACGGATGTTTGATTCTGCACTTGAGTTGTTGTAGTTGTTGAAGCTAAAACCCGGACTTAGTTGCAACAGTGCTAGTAAAGGCACAACAGAATGAAGGCAATAGCATCTGAGACTTCACAAGTCTACCTTTTTTAACATCGGGTGACTTTCAAGGATCCTTTTAGTTAATTGACCAGGTTTACTGCACGCTGTCTGCACAAGTCAGTCATCTTAATGATGGAGGTTTTTCCCAGCATCAGCACCGACAAAGCACGACACATCGGAGCCTTCTTCAAGATTCTTATCATTTCCATTCTGATCTTGCTTTTTGGCCTAAGAAACGTCTACATGCACCATCAGCTTAGCCTATAAACAGTGGTTGCTGCCACGAGGAGGAGAAAAGGTAGACATCAGACTAATACATTAATCTATAAGAGTACAAGCGCTATTGTTCCCGAGCAAGCGCTTTTGACTAGTATGGACGGGATGACTTGCGCGCTTTTCGAATGCCTGCAGAGTCACACCCCATCGCCCTTTTACTGAAGGAAGCGGTCGACGACGTTGAAAAGGAACCGTTACTTGCCTCGGCTGCTACCCACTTGCAAAGCCGCGTGTCTTCACCTCCTGTAAACATCGTTGTGCTCTCTGGATCATAGTATATACAGCGGATACAGGCCTTATGACCTCCTTTAAGCGCTGCCACATGCTGCAACTTCCCTGCTGAGGCTGCGTTCGTGCCAATATTGACAGCATTGACGTCGCCATCGTGGTTACCAACAAGCAGGACGAGATCATTTGACTGATCGTTGTACACGCAATCGATTAAGTAGTCAGTAGCCAGGCCGTTGCTATTGCAATCGTCTCGGATCGTGTCATAGTGGTGCAGTCTCTTGGCAGTCCAAATATTCCACAAATCCAGCGTCTCGGTGCCTGTGAGGCAGTAAATGTTCTCCTTGAGCTCACCAAAGAAGCCCAAGGTCGTAACGGCACTCTCAACATTCAAAATACTTTCAAGGGCTTCATCCTCGTCGGGAATACGGCAATCAAAGCAACACACAACACCGTCTTCTGAGGCCGTGACCACGAACGCCGGTTGCGTCGGATGAAAGCGCACTTTAGTGACGGCGTCCACGTGGCTCTCTCCGTACTCTCCAAGCTTCGCACCCGTGCGCACATCGTAAAATAGCACGAGATTGTCCGTTCCCGCGGCTAGCAGCGTCTCGTCATGGTTAATAGACAGGCTCCAAACCTCTTGACCGACTGGCACGACCAAGGCCGGCAGCGCCGTGCGTGTGTCCCAGAGCTTGACGCACTCGTCACTGGAACACGTCGCCAACTGATAAGGCGACGATTGTGACGTCCAGATCTCGTGAATTGTACTGTTGTGCGCATGGAACTCGTGCTGTAGCGCCAACGTTTCGAGACTGCGCAGCTGCAGCTTGCGCGTAGACAGCGCCAGTGCCAGACCGCTGCGGTGCGCTGTTGGCTGACAGTCCAGGATATAATCGTAGTCAAATTCTACACTTGGATCCGCCAATAAGTCAGCGCTGCCATTGACTTGTGCGCCTACAAATGAAACTACGGCGGTTTGCACTAGTTTTAGATCACCACGATCGAGAGCATAGTCCATGACTGAGTAAATTTACTTGTGACGTGTAGCCATATATTTGATGGCCGCTGGACATTTATCGATTTAATTGGACAAAAAAACAACTGTTAAGGTATCCAGCACCACGTTAGTTCCTACCCTTCAGGATCTAGCTCAAATAGTCGACCCATTCGCTGAGCGCGAATGCTGGCACCACGAAGAGAAATACTTTAAAAGCCGTGACGACCCCATGAAGATCCAGTACCGGTTTGTCATGCATATAAACAGCAGGCCAGACACTATCGTCCAGTGGTGCGTGGGGAGGGGGATGGTCGCGTCATGGTAGAAGACTAAGGCTACCACTTAACCAGAGATCTTGCACATAGTTTTAACTCCCTCTAAATAAATCATCTGGACCTCTCTTTTAAGCTGATGATGAAGTACACTATTTTTGCCACGGACTCCTGCTAAAGCTCACTGACGGTTCGCCTTCTGAACGACAGGCGGTTTGTCACGATATATGAGCATGGGGTCTGGTATTCGAGGCGCGCCCGCAACTCATCGTTTAGCCTTGGTCTGTGTCAGACTTTACGTCGAATTACTTCATTACAAAGGCCTTAGGCAAGCAAGCTTTACGGTTCCACAAAAAAAGCTCTCGCCCGTCAACTTTTGGTTCTCGTTGATCGCCTTTCCCAACTAGCAACGACAGATGAATGGTAACCCGTAGCGCTCCAGTAACCGACGCAAGTGTGGGATCATAGTAATGTTTTCGCACCATATCATGTTTGGACAGGGTACAGGGTAACGACAAGACAATTAAATCTATATCATGCTGCGCGGAACGAAAACTAAAGTTGCAGAAGACACCGGCCTGCAGAGGCACCGGTGTCTTTCTGTAATTATTTTTTGAGAGTGTGCTTGCCTCGCAGCACTCTGAGATAACCCAATTGGTCACTACGCCGAGCAGAAAATCACCTGTTGATTGACCCGAACTTCCTGGGCGCCAACAACATATAAGAAAAATCCTGGCGGGCCGATTTCAGGATGACGTAGGTGAAGTCGAACACACAAATTTTGCACGTCCTCGCAACGTTATGTCAGCCACGATTTTCAATAGACAGGAGTGCATCTTCTACAAGGCTATCACACTCCATCTTCCCAGTAGCACCGCCAGTTTTTGGGCTTCGCGCCTTTGTCAGCTCCCGAGCACTCGCAAAGAGAGAGCATCAAAATATAGCGTCAGCCACACATGGTACCTTGCTTTGTGCAAGCATAAAGCAAGGCACCATGTGTGGTCGAGTTGCTTGGCGCGACCCCAGCAGACCACCAAGCTCTACGGTGGCCGGCCACGATATACCGCCGGGCCAACCGGCGCTGACATCCTGGCTCAGGAGTTTCCAGAGATCGTGCACATAGTTAACACCATGAAAATATACGATCTGAACCTCTTTCTCTTTATGGAGTGGTTTGGTTTTGCTTCTACCATTACTAGATACACATTTTCGGCGCGTGTGTAGGTGGAGGATCTTGCTGCCTTGAGCTTACATGCCTGCTCATGCAATTCAAGATAGATTGACAAAAAGCGTACTATATTACAGCTATCTTTTTACCAAAAACTAGTCGCTTCATCCTTAAAGACTATGCTTGTCACGATAACGCTATATTTAATAGCTTCAATGTTAAATGTCTTTACTTCCATAATATAAGGAGGCTCCAAACAAAAGGTTCAAGCAGTACTGTATGGTTTTTCAAACTTCCTGCAGTTTCATTCTGGACGGTTTTATCCTCTACATCAAAATCTGTACGCACGGTCGATTTGTAGATTTTACTTGTTCGTCGTTGCATTACAATTGTTGTTGGCATCCATTAATTGACCTACGACGTTGCTTGCTTAAGCATCCCAGCAGAAGTGTACAGGCCGAAGGATTGCTCAAAAAGCTTGGTTTTGTAGGGCGTGTCGAACATCTGGAAGTAATAGCTCTCGTTCACGGAGCTGATCCATTGCTTATAGGCGTTGTAGAAGTTTAACTCGCCCGAGATACTGCAAACATTGCCGCTTACGAAGCCACTAGAGGGCCAACCCGTCTCCATCAATCTCAGCTTGTCACCAAACTGGCTATACATGATCTGCCACTCCTCCTTAACGAGGTTGATAGCGCTTTCAGCGGTCATGCCGGGAGAGAAAACCGGTTGCACGTTCACACCCAGGACGTCACAGGCAGCGACCAGTTCGGTCCAGCCTGAGACACTCTGCCAGTTGATCACCTCCGTGTTGCGCTGGACGGTGCCGACTCTGACGGACGCGCGGGCCTTGATCTGATTGATGATATCGATCATGTCGCGTGGGACGCTATTGGCATTCGCCAGGTTCTCGTTGCCAACCATAATGGCCGAGACGCCACCGGCATTGGCTGCCTTAATAGCGGCCTCCATCTGCTCTTGATAGCCGTCTTGAGGGTACGGCACACCCAGGACGGCCTTTAGTCCGGCGGCCGCGATGATAGGACCCAATTCCGTGTTGCCGAACTTGGCAATGTACGTGCGCACGCTATCGAAGCCGGCGTTAAGGATGAGCTTCATGTCGGCCTGCACGGTCGAATAATTCACGACGTCCGCGTGGTTCGGATCATAGCACACACCGTTAGCGTCTACCTTCATCGAAAAGAAGGCAAAGACGCCCAAAAAGATAGGGATGAAGAACTTCATGGTGATAGTTACGAGTGCTTTTGTTGAATAAGTACAAGCAAGAGTGGGGCACTTGATGCTGAAGAAGGAATGCCGAACGACATCGTCGATTCGACCAGATGCCGAGCCGGATGCGGATCAGAAAAGACTGCTTGCTAATCTGCTCAGATTGCTGCGATACCACTCGAATTTGCAGCGCTAGTGGAGCGAGAGTGTCCTGCAGGAATGTTGCAGCAGCAGTCGTCTGCCCCGATTAGGGTACCCGGCAAAGCCTCGAGCTTGGTCATCCATTGCCAGCAATAGCCTTTGAAAATCCAGCTTATGACCCTGAGACATAGCTGGCATAACCTACGAATACAAAATCTTTCATTGTTACTTGCTACATGCTACTTAATTGCAAAACATCTACCCTGCACTTTTCACACACTCTTCCTCCGTCAAAAAGTCGTCCAAGATCCAGTGTCTTCATCCGCGTCCATCGTAAGTAACGTTGAGCACTTGGATTACGTCAAAAATGCAAATACGTTAACTTGTTCACTAAATAGGAATAAAATAGACTACCATGTGAAGTTGCTCTCGTCCATGAGAACGTTGGCGACTATGGTGAGACGTTGCGCTAGGACGTAGCGCTAAGTTTGATGATAGAAACATTTCTTCGTTAACGTCTTATCCAACTGCATACCTAACTTCACATAAATGGGTGCTGTGTCCAACAGTAAGCTTGGCATGATTGGTTGTTCAGATCGTCTATTTACATGGTGTTAACTATGTGCAAGATCTCTGGAAAGTCCTGAGCCAGGATGTCAACGCCGGTTGGCCCGACTGTAAATCATGGCTGGTCACCGTTGAAAGCGGTGGCCCTCTAGGTTCGCGCTCGAGCAACTCGATGCATGCATATAGCAAAGCACCCGTTGTGGCGGACGCAACTTTTTGATGCTCTCTCTTCGCGATCGCTCGGAGCTGACAAAGGCACGAAGCCCAAAAACTGGCTATGCTGCTGGGAAGGTGGAGCGGGACTGCCTTGTAGACAGCGGCATTTCTGTCGACCCATAGCCGTGTGTGACATATCGTTGCCAAGACGTGCCAAATTCGCGTCCAGACACGTTCGGCTGCATCCGTGTCATCCTGAAATCGGTCCGCTAGACTTTGCATACGGTGCTCGGGTATGCTGTGAACCCTTCGGCTTGCACAGGCCACCACAAAGTGTTTGGTCGCTTGGCGGGTAACTTGTTGCCCAGTCCAGTGACCAATAAGTTTGCCCCATAGCGCTGCAGCGCAGGCACAGTCCCAAAACAGATGACCAATGGTCTCCTCACTGCCGCTGCAGGCCGGTGCCTTTCTGCAACTATTATTTTCGTACCTCGTAGCGTGATACAGATTTAATTGTCTGGTCGCCACCCTGTACCCTGTCCAGACTTGATACGGTGTGAGTCCATTACTATGATCCCACACTTGCCTCGGCGTTTGCCGGAGCGCTGCGCATTGCCATTCATCCGTCGTTGCAGCTTTGGACAGTCGATCAATGAGAACGGAAAGTTGGCGAGCGAGAACCTTTTTATGGAACCGGAAAGCTTGCTTGCCTAAGGCCTTTGTAACGAAGTGATTAGACGTTGTGGTCGGCACAGACCAAGGAAACCGATGCAGCTGCGGGTGCGCTTCGAATACCAGACCCCAAGTTCTAATCTCACGACAGACCGCCTGGCGTTCCGATGGCGAACCGACAGTGAGCTCCGGCAGGAAGCCGTGACAAAACCAGTGTAACCCATCATCAGCTTGGTGCAGAGTGACAGGCCGAGTTTGGCCGTGCTTGATATCCGTCGAGTGACCTTCGATAAGGCCTGCTCCGAGAAGCTTCCAGCGAAAACTGCGGAGACATGGTGGTGCCTGTCGTAGGCGTAGTGGCGGTGCCGCGTGCAACTCTGACCCGATAGGTAAGTCCGGGGATGAAAGCAAAATGGCTGTTGCCCACCGACGGAGTTTTGCGTTGGAATGAGGGCCGGGTTGGTCCTGAGGGATTGGTATTCGTAAAACGAATTCCGCTGGCCCCGTACGCCGGATGTGTAGTTGTTCGAGGGTGCAGTCCTCGATCCTGTTATAAGTAGTCCTGGCCAGCATGTTGCCTCCCTGGTCCCGAATCCATGGGTTCGCACTCCAGTTAAAAGTGGCCCAGAATCGCTGAATTTCCTCCGGCATATCATCATACCCCAGCAGCCGTATGGGGAAAGGGTCAATGAACGACAGTACCAATTCGTCCCCCTCCCACCAGCTAATGGCTCGGTCAAGTAAGGCCGAGGAGTGGGCGTGCCTCCACGCGGTCACCTGGTCCTGTTGATCTGTTGTTGGGGAGAGCCGTTCTCCCAGCTCCTGCCTCAGCTCATGGCCTGGCGAACCTTCCCGGTTAAACGATGCCCGTAGTTTAGCCTGAGCCGGAGTCACTATTGTCGCGGCCGGTCCTTGATTGTTCCGGAAAGTCCACATTTGCCATGCAGAATAGTATTTATCCGGCTTCTGAGTAAGCCAAGCAAACGCGTGCTTTGTGCGTTGAGTTTTAACCGCTACCGAAACAGCCGCTAGTCCGATGCCTCCCGCTTGTTTTGGCGTCACAAGTAGTCCAGGATAACCTTGTGGCGACTGCTTTCTGTCGTCGTCGCGTGCGCCCACAGGAATTGCTTGTATAGATTGTGCAGTTCTTTTTCCGCCCACCGAGGTAATTCAAAAACTATCGCGGTAAATAATATTGAGGGAAGCACGATGGAGTTGAGGATTAACACACGATTCTCCACGCTCGTTGCTACTCGTGTCGCTGTGAGAAGCCTCCTTTGAATTTTTCGGATCCGCTGGGCCCAGTTCTTGTTCACTAACTCCCCCGTTCCAACCTCATAGCCCAAGTATCGAGTTGTTGCGCCCGCGGGGACGACCGTCATTCCCTCGTACCTCTCCAGCATGACAGATCTATTCAGAAATATCAGCTGACTCTTTGCAGGTTGAACCTGTAGACCAGCAAGAGCGCCAAATGCTCGCACAACATGTAACGCGTGGGGTATTTGCTCCGCTGTCTCGAGAAATAGGGTGGTGTCATCCACAAATGCTGAGTAAAGGTGGGTCTGCCCGGGCTGGCCGGGCACTTGTAGCCCTTTAAGGTTGGGGTCTTGCAGAAGTGCTTAAGCTTGGCATGATTAGCTTGCACAAACGTATCATCCTTGACAAAATGTCACAGATTTTAAACGAACTTCTGCGCAGCCAGAACCGTGGTGTCATCATCACCCTGCAATGTATCTGTCTCTTCTTGTCCGAGGGTGTCATCCATATATGCCTCATCTTTTCTTCTCAATCGACCCGCATCCTGTCAATCAGCGCTTCAGACACGTTTGCAGGGTCTTCCACCTCTTTGCGATAATCGACTCTTTAAACGAACAAACCAAAGGTAAATGGATCGCCAAATGCTTAAGTATTTTCTCCGATCGAGCCGTCTTACATAATTCTGCGTAGAATCATCCGAGTGGCGGCCAATTCTCTGTCACATTCACAGTATTGTACCCGCCGCAACTCTCAAACAGGCGTTACAAGACTTTATAACCATGCCAACCGATCGTATCCTAACCCAGGACGACAACGAGATACTCATGGAACCTATCTCGTTGGCAGAGGTCCTCCGGGCCACCACGTCGCTCTCCCGACATAAAGCGGCTGGGCCGGACGGGCTCAACAACAATTTCATTAAGGACTATCAAGCACTACTTGCACCGGCACTCGTCACGATAGGCAACGACATACTGCAGGGAAGAACGCCACCAGCCTCCTTTTTGGAGGGATTAATCATCCCGCTCCGGAAGAAGGGGGATTCGGCGGATGCAATGGATTGTCGACCGATAGCGTTGCTACAGTCAGGCTACAAAGTCGTCGCCAAGGTACTATCTCATCGCGTACAAAAAGTGTTAGGGGTTCCTATCCAAGACACTCAACAAGGTTTTGTACACGGAAGACAAATGTCTAAAACAGTCATGATGATGATGGCACACCTTTTAACGGCGCAACGCGAACCGGACCTGGAGCCTGCGGATAGTCGAGCAATTTTATTGCTGGATTTTCGCAAGGCATATGACACGGTCTCGCGCGATTTTTTATTTGAAGTTATGCGGTATTTCGGGTTTGCGGAGTCCTTCATTACAATGATTCGGAACCTCCACCGTAACACTACCGCCCGATTTGTAGTCAATGGGATATTATCCGACCCGATTCCCGTACTCACGGGCATCCGACAGGGTTGTCCCTTAGCACCACTACTTTTTCTTCTCGTGGCAGAAATACTAGCAATCGCACTACTGCAAAGTACCCAGATACGGGGGTTGCGGCATCCAGGCATTCCTACCCAGGAACAAAAATTCTCCGCTTTTGTTGATGATTCGACGGTTTTTTTACACCACGCGGGGCAGATACCGGAGGTAATGAGCATCGTTCATCGCTTCGGGGAGCTCTCAGGGCTGTCTGTACAACCAGCAAAGAGTGTACTGATTTTCCTCAATACAGCGGTCGCAATCTCCGATTATGAAGGAATTTTAGTACTCCGTCATGGTCAAACGACTAGGTATTTAGGGTACCAGGTGGGGACTGGAGACCTGGTTGACGCAAATTGGGCCTTACGGATTCGAAACGTCAGAAAGCGTCTAGCCACCGCGGCAAGCCTCTCAACCAGCGTCGCCGTGAGGATACTGCTACTGAATGCTGTCATGCTACCAGCAGTCTTATTTACAGCTGCTGTCTTCCGGCTCCCGCAATGGGCTCGAGCAGAACTGCACAACATACAGAAGCAATTTGTGTGGCATCACACCACGTCTACATGCAACAGCAGACACAAGGTCAATCCAGGCCTGCTATACACACCACGCGGGGCGGGGGGATAGGGCTCGTCTCCATAGACGTCGCCATATGCACTCAAAATCTTAAGCATGCGATGAAGTGGCTGATTCAGAAACGCGATCGCTACTTCTATGCTTGGGCAGCGTGGTCATTTCAAGATATGG